ATTATCGACGCTTTATTCCCAGCTGTGCCTCTCTGATTCAGCCATTGAAAGACCTCCTTCGAGGGAATAGCAAGTCCATAGAACTTGACACGTCTGCCTCAAATGCTTTTGTCCAGGTTAAAAAAGCTATTGCGAATGCCACACTTCTGATGTATCATGATCCAACGGCACCATTAAGTATCTCGGTTGATGCATCAAACACTGCAATCGGCGCAGTTCTACAACAGCTAGTTAACAAAGATTGGCAACCGCTCACCGTTTTCTCGAGGCACCTTCAATTAGCTGAAACGAAGTACAGCGCATTCGGCAGAGAACTTCTGGCTATGTACTGTGCTATACGTCATTTTCGGCACTCAGTAGAGGGTCGTGAATTCATCATTTTCACTGATCACAAACCTCTGACTTACTCTCTGAACTCACCTTCAGATAAGTATTCACCTAGGGAATCACGACAACTGGATTACGTCTCACAGTTTACATCAGGTATTCGCCATGTATCCGGAGTAAACAACACTGTGGCAGATGCCTTGTCGCGCGTTTGTTCCCTCACCCAAATCGATGGCATAGACCTTGTAAAACTGGCTCGTCTTCAAAAAGAAGATACCTAGCTTCAACATGAGTTGTCGAAAACAACTCTACAATTAGCTGAGAAACCGTTAGGTATTGGAAGAGATACTATTCTGTGCGATATTTCCACGAGTACTCCTCGCCCCATCGTGCCTAAAAGTTATCGCCGTAACGTCTTCAATACGTTGCATGGCTTATCTCACCCAGGTATTCGAACCACTGTCAAGCTCGTAACTAGTCGGTTTTGTTGGCCTGGCATTAATAAAGAAGTAAGGGAATGGGCATACACGTCCTTAGCTTGTCAAAAGTGCAGGGTAATAAGACACACTAAGAGCCCACTTGGCACCTTTCTCCTCCTTGACGCTCGTTTTGAACACGTTCATAGAGATTTAGTTGGACCCCTTCCTGAACCTCATGGATATACTTACATTTTAACTTGCATCGATCGATTCACACGATGGCCGGAAGCAGTACCCATCAAGGATGTATCTGCTGAAACAGTCGCACGCGTCTTCGTAGAAAGATGGATCGCTAACTTTTGATGCCCATCTTCCATAACAACTGATCGCGGGCGGCAATTCGAAAGTGGCTTATTCTTCGCCCTGACTAAAATATTAGGTTGCATGCGATTTCGAACAACAGCCTACCTCCTCAAGCTAATGGCATGGTAGAACGTCTACACAGACAGTCCAAAGCTGGTCTGTCAGCTGCAAACACCACCCTTTGGACTGAATCCCTTCCGTTAGTTCTCCTAGGGATACGAAATGCCTTGAAAACCGATGCTGGTTGTACTAGCGCCGAGCTAGTATATGGCACGACACTACGACTGCCTGGTGAATTTGTTTCTCCCTCGAGCTTCATACCAGAGGTAGATCACGCTTCATACGTCAGCAGGCTTACAAACGCAATGCGTTCAGTTAAACTTGCTCCCCTTCGTCCACAGTCCATTGATGTTTTTGTTCATCCGTGTTTAAAAAGTTCTTCACATGTATTTGTTCATCGTAACTATGTGCGTAGACCTCTGGAACCCCCATACGACGGACCTTATAAAGTAATTAAACGTTTGGATAAATTCTTTGTCTTGGACAAAAACTGCCGCGAGGACACCGTCAGCATTGACCGTCTGAAACCGGCTTACTTGGAGGGTAATCCTATTAGCATAGAGCTCAACGTACCCCATAATCCAGTAGTAACCGAAGATCGTTTAGACCCCGATGAAGTCACTAGCACGGTGACAGCTACCGAACCTTTTGTCAAGCTCCCTAAGAAAACCCGCTCTGGATGTACCGTAAGGTTCCGAGAATATCTTCATACCTATATAACATAACGAAGTCAAGTGATTCACCCAACTCATCCGTTTGTGGTACTTATAATTTTTTTGGACGCACCAACTTGTTTTGTGTACAGTATCACTAAACACAAGTTAATTTTTTTTCTTTAACGGTACATGTTTCAGGTACCAAAAAATAGATGTATTTTTTCAATTTTCTAAAATTTGGTGGATGGTGGCTAGCAGTGGAATCCTGAGACCGAGCACTTCGGTCCAATCAATCGACGGGAAAATCAAAAATTCAACTCAATTTCTAAAATTTGCATTATTTTACTGTATGGTAAATGCACATCATTTTTTTAAAAACGCTGATTTGGTACATTCCCCTCGACATGGTTCTTAGCGTTCTTGTTTTCTCTTCCACGTACGACGGGCAATGGACAAGAAACAAGCGAAGCACGGAATCCAACGAACAACAACAAGGAAGCTATGTGCAAACACCCCATTAGCATAGGCAGACAAACCAGTAGGCACGCCACCAAGCCGCTCGGAAAGATTTTTCACCCGAAAGCGAACCATCGAGATTTTTTTTCTTCCGGCTGGTTCTGTCTTAGGGTCCTCATGACCCCACTAGGGGGGGAGTGAGCTGTAGCGGTGAATAATTCCCCAAAATTATTGACCATAGGAATCATCAGTGAACATTAGATGCTGACCCTTAGAGTTTAAGTCGACTTGTTTAGCTGAAGGCTTCCCATCAAGCATCCCCGCCATTTGGTACTCCGTCGTGTCACATTCGTACACGATCACCGGCCAGCTAAGCGTTCGTCTAACAACTCGTTTTGGTCTCGAAATATATCGCGTAATTCGGACGATCAAATACTGTCTTTTGCTTTGCCTTTGGTACGCGAGATACAAATACGTTAGAGATTGTTGGTATAAGAGCTTGCGTTAATATGCCCAGTACTGTGCGCTAACATCCATACCGACAACCTATAAATCGCCATTCCTCTCTTCCCATATATCCGTGTATACCACGATCTCCTCAAACACTCAACAATATGGTGTGACAATATAATTAAATTATAGGTGAGTTGTATCATTTTCGGCAACGTTAACAGCAGCCCCTGATATTCTGAGTTAATATATCCATTACCATAGAGTCTGATATTCTGAGACAAGAAAGGTGCCGGGCTTGTTTACTACAAACGACCATATGAACTGCCACTATTCCCACGCTATCTATACAGCTAGGCGTTCTCACTGACTCACCCACTCACCCTCACACCCTTTCGGTGTGGATTTACATACCCATAGGAAATAAAGCAGTAACCAAATTCGGAACACTAACAGAGAAGTAGGCGAATAGGAACAGAGCAAGTCGAAAGCAGCTGAAAGATGTATGTAGCCGTTTTCCGTCTCTGATACACACTCGTTATGGCGTAGGAGATACTTATTTGCTTAAATATTACAAAATTCAAGCTGGGTGACGCCAAATTTGGTGTACCTAAAATTCTTCGCCTTTCGATTCTTCCATTAATAGTTTTCCGATGGATATTCGCTTACACCCGATATATATTAACTGTTAGTCACTCCATATTAATTTGTATATTGTATATATCACACAGTGAAGAAACAGTATTATTTACTGGATGATGTTTCTGACGCAATTTATTTATCGTTATTATATAAATTATCACTGAACAACTTCAAAACTTTCGTTTTATAGTTTTCTTTATTGCTCCGCACTTGCCTTAGAGATAGTGGAATTTTCCAGATTTCTAGCTGTAGAGGTGTTGGATCATTCCTGTTACACGTATTCTCTCTCTCAGTTGATTCGATAAATAAAGCTTCTGTTATAAATTTGTGATGGTAGGTAGTTCCCCAGAATTATTATCCTCAGCATTCATCACTGAACATTGGATGCTGACCCTCACTGGTCAAGTCAACTTATTTAGCTGAACGCTTCTGGTCAAGCTTCCACGCCACTTGGTGCGCCGTTATGTCACGTTCGTTTTTGCACGATCCCTGCTTAGTGAAGCACCCATCTCGCAATTAGATTAAATCCCGAAATATAATTAGTAACTCGGAAGGTCAACTTTGGTGTATTCCTTCTCTTTGGTCTACACGGAATGCATAATATAGAAGCTGTGGATATAAGATATGCGCTAGCATACTTAGTATTATCGGTGAATGCCAATGAAGTCAACCTCAAAAAATCGATAAATAATTGTAAAAAATATTTAGATATCCCATCTCATTGCACTCAGTTGTATGGAACTGCATCACTGCAAGTCTTGAATACAACACAAGATCAGGTGGCCGGCCAGTAAAGATCGGCAACAGGGTGGGATCTCTGCGAGCGAACCAACCAGGAACCGATTGTGCAACAAATAAGCAGGAAGAAATGGAGATGGGATGGCCATACTCTGAGGAAACAAACCATCAAGTGACATCACTAGACAAGCCATTGCTCGAGTGGAACCCGAAAGGGAAGCGGGCGGTGATTTGGTCGTCAGCGATAGGGTGACTTGGAGGAGGTGATGTGAAGAGGAGATGAAAGCGTGTGGGCAGACTTGGAGTGGGGTGAAAACATTGACAGAGAACCGAAGGCAATGGAGATGAGTAGATGAAGCCCTATGTGCATCTAGGAATTAAAGGAAATAATAATAATCATAATAATAATAATAAAATAATAATCACTGTGTCTAGAATGACAGCGGCTAGTATGTCCACTGCCTGTCTTTGCTCTCATAGGCAAAGTTAGGGCCTAAGCCTGCAGTGAATGTGAGTGTCTGAGGATAACATTTTCACGCGGAAAGCTTTCTTTTCGACTTCACACATTGTGGCCGATAGCATTCTATCCGAGGAATTGTTTCTGCCGTCTTCCGTGCCGTCCCACTGTTCCATTTCTATTAGTCTCAAGTGCAGTCAGTGTTCGAAGTTCAAGTCGAATTGTCTGCTTGTTTGTTTGTTATTGAATGTAATTATTTTTGTTTGTAAGATTAGGTGATTGGCGCCAGTTACTTTTTCATTGTCACGCTTCGTGATGGCTCCTCCGGCTAAGACTGCTGTGGGCTCAAAGAAGGCTGTAATGTCACAATTTGTAACTATTTATTGTTAACAGAAAGCACTAGAGTCCATCAATAGTTGCCTTGCATTGGTAATGAAGAGTGGGAAGTGTTCTATTGGATTGAGGCAAACACTACGCCTTCTGCGTAAAGGTGGTGCTAGACTGATCATTATTGCCAACAATACTCCTCCACTGAGGTATGTTTTCTTTTGCATTCGTCTGAGCCCATTCGGGTTATGAAGACGTATAAGTTATGTTCCCTTTAGATCACTAGATGTACTTATCATGATATTGTTGAATTATATTTAGGAAGACGGAGATAGAGTATTACGCAATGTTGTCGAAAACCGGAGTTCACCACTACAACGGCACAAACCGCGACTTGGGAACAGCATGCGGTAAATACTTCCGAGTGAGCACACTGGCTATCGAGGATCCAGGTAAGTTACTTTCTAACTACAACTACGAACTTAAGGTGACTCGGATATCATCAGGTCTGCGCCCCATAAGTCAGAAACCAAGTGATTCTTTCAATAAATTTAATTACTCTGGACAACATGGCTTTTTGATTTGAGAATTGCAGCGTTGATGAGAAGTCTGTTAGTGAGGAAACGGTAGGGAAATGCCTGATGTATTAAAACTAGTGTATAATTGTTCCCTCTGTGCTTCGGAATTTTCTGTGGGTAGCATGACTGCCGTAAGTTTCTTAAACTCGTGTTTCCCCATTCATCGACTGCTCTCAGTTTGTCTGGTGTCCCAATTCCTACTGAATGTTGTACTCTGCACTGGCGACACGACGGAAGAAAGTAGTCTGTTCAGATGTTTGAAATAATGAAGTGGCAGTGTTATGAGCGCAATACTAACTTCAGCGATGACCGGCTTCAGCCTTATTTGTATTTTAGTTGGGTGTTGAACTGAGTTGTTTCGTGATATGCGAATAAGTAGTGAGGAGTCATGTCGGCTCTCGCGTGCGTGATAAAATAATGGTTCTTTTTTTGATACAATTGTTTTTGTTGGTTAACCTGTCAATTTAGCTTCTGTGATCTGGTTTTTCGGGGTTGCACAGGAGATTGTATTTCTCTATCGCTGTAGTGTCTTCAAATATGAATAAGTGTCAACTTTGACGGCCTGAGTCCATGCGTGGCCTCAAAGAAATCTGAGTAGTATTTTTGTTTTGTGCTGGGAAAGTGCAGCATGAGATAAAAGAAGTGATAGTTCAGTGGGTGACTGATTTGTTTGTGATAACCTTTCCGTTCGAATGTAACTGATTTCCTACGAAGGATCAAGAATTGGGCCCATTCCCTCGTTGGCTCACGCCATCATATCTATGTATACGGTCACACGGTCTTAGGCTCAATAATCATGCGTAGACTGAGTGATGCTCGGGAAGCACAAACACGAGAGAGCCAGGCAGGCTTTAGACCAGGAAGAGGGTGTATTTATCATATCTTCACCCTCCGACAGATTCTAGAACATAGGCATTCCTACCGGCGTCCAACAGTCATTATATTTCTTGACCTAAAGGCAGCATTCGACTCTGTCGATCGGGAAGTTCTCTGGAGATGCTTGGCTGTAAAGGGAATTCCAAGAAAATATATTGCACTGATTAAGGCACTCTATTCGTACTCATACAGCCAGGTGAGGGCTTACGGCGAGCTGTCATCTGAACTGATGACGACCAGTGGTGTCCGTCAAGGATGTCCATTATCCCCTTTTCTATTCAACTTCATCATAGATGTGTTAATGGACTTAACCCTAGGTGACTTCAGTTTTTTTTGGATTGACTTGCTACCTGGGAGTAATCTCGTTGACTTGGAATATGCAGACGATATAGTCCTTCTAGGCGAAGACGCTGACAAAATGCAGAGTCTTCTAAACACCTTGAGCAGCAATCTACGAATGTTTGGCATGCGATTCGCTCCCGCCAAATGCAAGATGATGTTACAGGACTGGACTACATCGACGCCTAGTTTAAAAATAGGAAGTGAAGTGGTAGAGCACGTTGACCGCTTCATTTATTTGGGAAGTACCATCAGCCCCAACGGGCTGATCTCTGACGAAATCTCAGCACGAATACAAGGGGCTCGTTTCGCATTTGTTAGTTTACGCCGACTCTGGCGTAGACGAGATGTTCGACTATCGACCAAAGGGCGGGTGTACTGCTCATCAGTCCGCTCCGTCCTCCTTTATGGCTGTGAGACCTGGCCACTGAGAGTGGAAGACATGAAAAGACTAGCTGCCTTTGATCACAGGTGCCTGCGTTCTATTTCCCGTGTAAAGTGGCATAATAAGGTGAGCAACATGGAGGTTAGGCGTAGAGTTCTAGGTAAACAGGGGAAATCAATCGACGAAGTCGTGAAGCTACATCGACTGAGATGGTTAGGACATGTGTTACGTATGCCAAGTCATCGCCTCCCTCGACGAGCTATGTTAGCGGATATAGGGTCAGGCTGGAAAAAAGCTAGCGGCGGTCAAACAAAAACTTGGCATCAGTCAATGAAATCCACAACAGTTGGTCTAAGCCACGTAGAAAGGTGTAGACTTCCAGGCTGGGGTCCTCGGGACGGCAAAAATCTATGGTTGGAAACAATTGGTGACATGGCTCAAAATCGTTCTCAGTGGCGCAGATGCATCCACTCCCTGTGACTTATGATCTTCAATGAAACTGTTTTGTATTTCTTTATTACTCCTTTGTCTCACACCTCTGCTCACTGTTTCTATTATGCTTTTCTTGTACTTTCTTCTCTTGCTTCGCGTGCTACACGGAATGTGGCGACTTGAACTTCCGCACATTTGTGCAAAGTTCTATGTCGAAAACAGACAGACAGACGGTCACTCAATACGTCTGCACGTTGGAATTAGTCGTGTGCAACACTGTCTTATCTGGAATGTCCTCATGTGCCATATGTGTTCATCCACTCTTCGAGATTTATTAATCCTTTACTGACACGATACTATCATCTATTTCTTTCTGTTAACTGTAGGAGCATTAGCTCCTGAATTTGACTTTTTCACGCGCCGGTTTGCTCACTTGCTAGCTGAAATACTGGAGTTGGCTGGAATGGAAATGTCTTAGTTTTCCATTGTTGTACACCTTATCTTTTCTGGGTGTTTAAGATATATACGACGCTGATGAAGTCGTGTCGTCGTTAGATGTAATAGCGTTGTTTACTTGTGTGGGTCTTTATTGAAACTCACCTGTATATATGTTTTTTTTTGATGCATGTAGTTCGATGTAGGTTTGCCAACAAATAGCTTCAAAGAAGTTTAACGTTCAACTTAGCTTCATTTATATAGTCAGAAGGCCGATATTGCACTGGGATCACCACTGGCTGATTTTTATTTCGAAACTAATAAACAACAAGGACGTAGAGCATCGTGATATCCTGCAGTCATTAAGCAACTTCCGTCCATCCTTACAATTTACCATGGAAAATGAATCCGAACTACGCATTTGTTTTCTCATGTATTCTTGTGAATCAGCCAAAACTTATCCAAGAAATAGACAGAAGGGAGTGGACAAACTCTGAGTTCATACGCCTGGCAAGTAGTAGTCGAGTGGAACTCGAATGTGTAGTGACGAATTGGGCCATTGAGAGTTACGTGGATGACGTCATCTGAGGAGGGAATAAAAGCTTCTGGGCAATTATGTCGTAGGCATAGTAGGTGATAGTGGTGGACGGAGTGCAATTTGGCTGTGTGTCATTGAAGTCCTCTGTTCATCACCCAAGATGCAATCAAAGACTAATAATACTAAATGAAAATCTGTGAAAACTACACAATTTTGTGGAGGCCAAAAAATAAACAAACCAGGCTATTGACATACCTGAAAGGTGACTTGCTACAGGTAGGAGTTCTAGTGAAAAGTCGTGACCAGTGAGGTCCATCGAGATGTCACGTGTGTATATGGATGCCCCACCAACGACAATGGTTGCGGTCGCGCTAAATCATGAATTGGTAGAAGTTAGAATTCCTGGGAACATGGAACGTCCCCACTATGTACGAGACAGGGAAAGCTGCCCAGATCGCCAACGAGAGGAAAAGATACCGTATCCAAGTACTGGGAATATGTGAAAGCGTATGGAATGGGAATGGACTCACCAAATTGTCAACGGGTGAGTTAGTGATCTACTCCAGTCACCCAGAAGATAACCACACGCACACCGAGGGCGTGGTTATCATGATGTCACCAACGTCAACGAAAGTCCTGATGCAATGGGAGGCGATCTCGTCCAGGATAATGACCGCCAGATTCAACTCCTAAGGAAGGAAAGTGTCGATTATACAATGTTATGCACCCACAAACAACGCAAACCTCGAAAATAAAGAAGAATTCTACAGACAACTACAGGCAGCACTGGACAATACTCCAGCTGGCGACATTAAAAATACTAGTGGGAGACATGAACGCCAAACTGGGACCAGACAACACAGGATGGGAACTCATCTTGGGTAGAGAAGCTCTCGGAGAAATGAATGAAGACGGAGAACTCTTCACCGACTTCTGCTCCTTCAACGAACTAGTGATTGGTGGCAGCGTATACAATCACAAAGATATCCACAAGGCTACATGGGTGTCACCAGATGGGAGAACCAAAAACCAAATTGACTTCATCTCAATGCTGCTCAAGGAAGTGGAGGCGCAGCCTACTGGACACAAAAGTAAGAAGGGGAGCAGACGTTGGCTCAGACCACTATCTCGTACAAGGGACAATTCAAATCAAATTAAAAGCTTTCAGGGAAACAGGAGCTGCAGACAGACCACAAGCCAAGTTCAACACTCAAAAGCTGAAGGACTAGGCTACAAAGGACATACTCATTGCAAGCGTAAAGGACAAAGCCGAGACACAAATCAACACCAGCGAAGAGGTCGGCGTCGAAAAGCGCTGGGACAACTTGAAAACGGTGTGGAGTCAAACCTGCATGGAAGTTCTAGGTAGAAAGAAGAGATAGGACAAAGAGTGGCTCACTATGGACACTTGGAGACCAATAGATGAGAGAAGGATGGTGAAACAAAAGATTATCCAGTGCACTGACGAGCAACAAAAACAGGAGCTGAATGCAAGCTACAATGCACTGAATAAAAGAGTGAAGATGAGTGCCAGGGAAGACAAAAGAAAATATTATGAAACCATGGTAAACGAAGCAGAACAAGCTGCAGGCAAAGGAGACCTCGCCACACTCTACCAAACAACTAGGCACCTATCGGGCAAAAGTTCGACACAGATTAAGCCAATAAAGGACGACAATGGAAAGTCAATCACCAAAGAGGTGGAACAAAGAAAACACTGGGCTGAACACTTCAAACGACTTATAAATCGACCACTACCCACAACACACTAGATCATACCAGCAACGGAAGCAGAACTACTAGTGAACATCAACCGCCCGACGAGAACAGAAGTCCTGAATGCAATCAAGATGCTAAAAGCTGGGAAAGCAGG